GAGCGATGGCCTCCAACCTAATAGCGATGGCCTCCACCTAGTAGCTTCTAGCTACTCGTAGTTTCTTGTTACTAGTAGCGACGGCCTCCAACCGAATAGCGATGGCCTCGACTTAGTAGCTTTTAGCTACCAGTAGCTTCTTGTCACTAGTAGCGATGGCCTCCAATCTAATAGCGATGGCCTCCACCTAGTAGCTTCTGGCTACTAGTAGCTTCTTGTTACTAGTAGCCATGGCCTCCAACCTAATAGCGATGGCCTCCACCTAGTACCTTCTAGCTAATAGTAGCTTCTTGTTGCTAGTAGCGATGGCCTCCAACCTAATAGCCATGGCTTCCACCTAGTAGCTTCTAGCTACTAGTAGCTTCTTGTTACTAGTACCGATGGCCTCCACCTGGTAGCCTTTAGCTACTAGTAGCTTCTAGCTACTAGTAGCTTCTAGTTACTAGTAGCGATGGCTTCCACCTAATAGCGTCCTTGTTACTATGAGAGTCTATGGCATTTTTGGCACTTGTCCTTGACAGAGCTCTCCGTGTAGCAGCCAGAAGGCAATTTGAAGTCCATGGCCATGATCACTGAAAGGCCCTTCAGGGCCTTGGGTCCTGAACTAATCACACTCTCCTGGTTCTGACACGCAAAATCCTCCTTCAAAGAATACGAAAATACAAAATACTGTACATTCTGAGTTCATGATGTCTTGAGTTTTGAGCAAACGCTACAAGGACAAGCTTCGCGGTGCACATGACTTTGGTCAACTTTGGAGAAAGGGTCCGAATATATCATAGAGATCTCTCAAGTGATCTTTGGTATCAGCAGGTTCTGAGAGGTTTCGGGTTTACTGTCAGGTTCTCAAGGATCTGGACTGGCTTTTGCATGGCTCAGCAGCGTTGGCATACCAAGCGGTTTATCTGGTGACGTTTCATCACTCTGAGCAATTCTAACCTAACTGCCTAACTCAACTGTACATCTGACAAGCATGCGTTTTAAGACCAAAGGCATGTCAAAATAAGCGTATCGTTGACATTCTTTGACTATAGATGAGGGCGAAGCAAAAACTATCGAGGTTGGACTATGAGCCCTCTCAGCAAGAGCCAGCACACCCTGTTGAACTGGCCGCACCGCCCTGGCTGCCGACCTTGGAATGGCCAAGCACTAGGCCTACTTCAAGTGGCAGGATCAAGAGGCAGACTTCAGGTGAAGACGGGGGGGAACATCCTTACCCTGGCTGGGTCCTGCAAGGCTAACATGATTCCGGAGTCTGGATGAAAGGTTTTGCCAAACGAGATAGAAACGAGCAAAACCAAGGCAAGAACAGGCAGCGAAAGTTCTCTTTGTGCAAGAACGAGGGCAAGAACCGTTCACGCAGCTTCGCCCGCCCCCTTTGCACAGTTGAGGCCACAGCTGCGAAGCCACGAGACTGATCATCCTCCTCAAGGACAAAAGATGGAGAACCCCAGCAGTGCTAGCGGCCTCAGCCTCTTTATTGTTCAATAAGTCTTTCAAACGACCTCAATGTCTGCCCTTTCTCTATGAGAGTCCGTGATGAATTTTCTGTGAAAAAGAACGTTTGCTGTCGCCCAAGAGTTGCATAACTTGTTTTTTTCAAGCCCGGGGGGTTTGGCCGAGAGGTAGGAAGAGGTAGCTAGTAGAAGAGAGGTAGCTACTAGCTTACTTTAGCTATATACTACCTAGCACGCAAGATAGCTCACGCTTCTTCAAGGAAGCTTCCCCCCACCCTCAGGGGGGAAGCCTCCTTGAAGAAGCGCTCGCACTATTCATTTGGTTCCTAGATGTTTAGGGAACAACATGTTCTGTGAAATAAATGTCAGGAAACAAATCCAATCACTTCAGAAACAGGAAATGCCTCAACTTGTTCCTTTCTTGCTCAGGGAACCCACCTTCATATCTGACTTCTAGTGTGCTAGCAGTGCAACGTCAAAGTATGCTGCAGCGCTGGTCCTTGGACTGCTTGGGCAGGCGAACAGCAATCCTTGCAATCATAGCGGTGCATCCCCCACTGATGTGTTGAGAAAAGCATGTAAACATACACAAACAATATCAAACAATGCTCTTACCCGTCCACACGTTTTCGTTTGCCAACAGGTCAAGCAGCTCATGGAAAAGCTCGTTAACATTTTGGCCGCTCTTCGCAGATGTTTCCTCGCAACAGGAGTTCTTGAGAATCTTCAACAGGAATCGACACCAGCACTGGCGCTCCATGTAGAGGATGCCCATCTGGTCTGCATAGCTCTTGGCCATTTCTCTTTCCACAGCTCTGCTTGCCTCTGCTCAAGCTGCCGAGCGAGCCAAACTGCTGTTTTTGCCCTTGCAGAGAGCAGGAAAGTCCTGTTGGAACACGTCTCCAAGCCTCCAAGTCAGACTTGTTTCCAGCCAAGGCAATCAAGGTGTCCTTCATAGAGCTTGACTGCAACATGCATTTCCGGCAAAGATGCAAATCAAAGACAACCTTTGCGCTACGCACCCCTTTCCGTGTTTTGTAACTCCGCAACCCAGGACTTCGCGGCATCGAAAGATTCCTGGAATCTGGAAGGAAATGTTGCAAAACCTTTTGAGAGCTCTTGACATGCTGTGAAGATGCTTGTCAATTCACCCACAGCCCATTGCAATCCATTGCTCAATGATTGTCAACAAGCGGTCCCGGGAGGTGATGTCAAACACAATCACGGCAGCGGCAGCTCCCCTGTAATACCTGGGAGCCGCGAAGCTAGTGGTTACTTAACCCCGTCTCCTTGTCTCTGAACTCCCGAAACTCATGCCGTTGTGCCTATTCTGAGATGCCAACATGGGAGCCAGGCTCTTGTACCGCTCTTGCCCAGCTGTATCCCAAATCTCGTACTTCACCACCTGGCCGTGTGCGTGCTCACAATCTTCACAAGTGCACAACATGTCCTGTGAAATCTCACTGGCCAACTCGAGGGTCTGACCTCTGAGCTGAGGCTTACTGTCTGGGTCATGAAAGCAGCGCCAATTGTAGGCTCCTTCATTCAAAACTCGCAAGCTCCCTTCTTTTTGGACAAAGATTTGGACAAGGCAGCTGCTTGTCCTGGTACTCATAGAACTCTCCTGCACTTTGAAGGGACTATATAAACGTCTAACCTCTCTCTCTCTCTCTCTGCTCAAAATGCTCGAAGTCAGGGACTATTTGCGTTCCACTTGAACTTGCGCCGACTTACGCCCGTACAAAACAACTCTGGCCTTTGGCGAATCTGACAACCAAGCCTGGAAGACTCTCGTGATTTCTGATTGTCTGCCGGTGAGATTTCTACTCCCTGCCATGTTGTCAAGCTCATGTGACGTACTCTCTCTCTCTCTCTCTCTCTTCGCATTCTTTGCATTTCAGAGCTGAGCAACAGGATTTTCCAACCGAGGCATCCCCCAGCAGGACCAGCTTGAAATGGAAAACCTCAGCTTTAGGCTGAAAGCAAATACACAAAAGTTCACAAACTGGCAAGCTGTGGCACTAGCTACCGTCAATCGCAGAGACAGCTGCTACTGAATGGCTTTATCCTGTAACAACGTGATGAAGCAGCCTCTTCAACTGTCCCGCAACCAAATCAACCAAAACAACAGAAGATTCTACTAGCGATGACCTCCACCCTAGTGGCGATGGCCTCCAACCCAATAGCGATGGCCTCCAACCTAATAGTAATAGTGCTGGCCTCCAACCTAATAGTAATAGCGATGGCCTCCAACCTAAGAGCAATAGCGATGGCCTCCAACCCAATCCGCCGGCCAACAAATTTGGAGGTGCATTACCCATTAGCACAACCTTTCGCTGGACTCAAGTGTGGCGAGCGCATCGCCAAGCACCCCACTTTGGGCGGAGTGCCAGATGCCATTGTAATCAATAGTGTTTGCCAAAGCCACTTTCGGTTGTGCTAATAATATGTTGCCTTGTGCTGCGTGTACTTGCTTTACAGTAGGTGCATTCAGCTGCTGCAATGCTGCGGACCTGAACCTTTTCGAGTGTTCCTTAAAGCTATGCAGTAATATTCTGGCGAAACTGCTTCCAACCATGAATCTGCTCCCTGAACACTATCCCAACATGTTCATGCATCCTGTGATCATATCCTCTTCAGCCAATGAAAGGAATTGCCAAGTGTTGAAGCATTTCACCAGCACCACCAAGGCCAAAGCATCACTGGCAGGATCTAAAATGTGCATTTATATGCAGATATGCAAGCCCATGTGATTCAATATTTGTCTTCTGCAAGCTGTACTGAGTTGTATGGACTGCGAAGCGAAATTCCTCGTGCGAGCAACCTATACAGCTCTGCAACGGGTCAAGAGATTTGACTCACACTGCATCAAGAAAGAACAAAAACTCATCATTGGAGTCATTGGAGTTGAGTAAAGTGGGTATTCCGGACGATGCGTGAGCCTCGCTCAATTGGCTAGTCCAGGCACTCATAAGTTGCCAAGAGTGTACAGGCAGCCTCCTGCTGTACAGCAAAAGAAATGCAGGCACCGACCAAGATCCCTCTTTCTCAATACAGTCATCTCAGGGGAGTAGCAGTATCCACCTTGTACGTTCTGGTACGAGGTCGGCCGGTGCAAGATAGCAAAATGTCATACGGAGCGTTCAAAAAATGCCAAGTGGATGGCCTGAGCATTTCGGCTTGTTTACTCCCACGCGGAGCTCCGCTTCTATGTTTGCATGAATTGCCTGGAAGATCAGTCTATGACAGGAACCTTTTCACAGGTGTGTCACAGACCTGCTTTTTGTTTTGACCTATTTAGCGAAGATAAAATCGATAAATATATATATATAACTTTATATAACTTAATTAATAGAGCTACACAAGTACTACATACGACAACGAGAATAGTGTTCCGTACTACTGATGAGGTGTAAGAGTCGATAAGTCGCCGGAATGTTCTCAAAAGAGAACGTCAAAAAAACGAAGTTAAAGAATCAAAGAGCTCATGGGCTCCTGCTTCAGCAGGGCCGATGGCCCATGGCCCAAGAAAGCAGCCATAACTCTTGGTCAGAAATTGACACTAAAAAGGTGCCATCAAGCTGACTTGCAGTGCCAGAATCTAATGGCAACACGACTAACCTCAACACGCACCACAGCGCCAAGTTTTGGGACCATACAAAAGATAGCAAACCAAGAAGGTTTCTTTCCCCAGTGAGAAGACCAACAATAAATTACTAAGTTAGAAGTTCTGGTCCGCTTGCATCTATATATATAGAGAGTGTTTGTATTTGCTGAGCATGCTCGCTCAAAACGCGAATCCTCTTGAATTACTGGGCATGCACCGAATGAACACCATCAAACTTCTTTGGATGTTGAACGTGCATCCAGGCTTGTATAACCTCAGCACCAAGCTTGAATAACATGCTCTCGCTAGGATGGTGACAGCTCACGAACGACTTGGTCTCAGGGTTTCGCCACCTCCAGGAGGACCATGACGCTTCCATCTGCACAAATGGCAGTGGTCGCACAAAGATCCATCTTTGCAGCCCTTTGACTTGGAATTGTACTTGCACGGGGGCCTGACAAAAAGTAGCAAATCTCCAGAGTCACAAGACTTTCACGTGAATGTTGATGCCGATGCTCAAACTTGCACAGTTTTGACTAGGCTCCGTACGCACAAGACAATGGATGTCCGAAAGAACCCATGGATGGAAATTCAGACGACTCTGCTGTCGAGCGCTGCATAGCGCCTGGTGGAACGGGTCCCTTAGATGTCAAGTCACTCGCCCAACGAAAATCCAACACTGGCATACTGACTTTACAACATCTACAGCAGTCCATGAACCTTTAGTTGATTGCACTTGGGGTAGTGGTGATGGTTGACACTTGGTTGACATGCTCTCTGCTGCAGGAGTCAGTCCTCAGCCAACGGATGCCTGTGTTCTCTACTGGTACCTTTTCATTGCGCGTACTTGCAGTGCTCTTGCGGCTTCGACGTCTGACTGGAAATACAAAACGGTGCGGGGCAAAACTTAGTTGGGTGAGGTGTACGGTTGTATTGTTGTATTGCCAGTTTTTATATGTGTCCTCTTGGCTTCATGGGCACAACCACGAATGCAAGTGACAAATGCTTGTGTGCGCCTGATGATGCTTGATGTACGCAAGTACGCAAGCAATTTGTGTTTGCGGCAAGGAGGGCAGCTTAGAGATGAGATCAAATTCAAGTTGAGGAGGGCAGCAATTCAAGTTGAGATGTGGCAAGGAGGGCAGCAAGCTGTGGCAGCTTAGACAAGTGGCAAGTTCAATGTTGCTATACCCGAAAAGCTGTGGTACCGCACTAATTCAGTCTGTTCTTTTGTGTTTCTTGCGCCACCATAAAGTGTCCTCCCAAGTCTCCAGAGAATAAACTTTGAAATCTGAGAATCCATAGTACGCACTTGCCCCAGTTCTCTCAACCACACCATGCTTGGGTTTCAGAAGGATAAACGCTGAGAGGACAAGGTTTTATATAGATAAAGAGGGTAAGAGCGGTAAGAGTGCCACTAGCAAAAATGGATGACGCATGAGTGTTGGTGAACAGCTCTGGCACATCAAAGAACATTTGCGCCACAGTCAAAACACTCAAAAGACCGGACTTTGGCTACAGTAAACAAAGTTCAATTGACGGGACATCTTAAGCTTTACAACACAACGGGAGCAACACTTGATGAAAATGGAGGAAAACTGCTTGATCGCGGAGGGCTGGATTTTTGGGGGGCCTGTTTGTCGACCATGTTGTTCCATGTCATTCACAGGGAGGTGTGTTGCATGCAAGTGGCGGCTGAGAAGGGCGTGCCGTGCAATGCCACACCAATGTACCGCCGCTCTGGTTCTTGCAAAGCGCATGCGTGACCTCGTCCAATAAATTGAACTGCATATGCCCGACAGGTATCAATATGTGCCAGGAGACAGTATTTGCAGGCAGCACCTTGGTCTGGAATAGTGTCAGGCAAACATGTTTAAATTGCCATCGGAAAATGCAACTTGAGTCCGGACCGTCTCTGCAACCGCCTCTGCTCCGTCTGAAGAATCTGCAGACTGGCCTGCCTAAAATCGTTTGCAACTCACCAAAGCGAAATGCTGTGCTCATGAAAAATAAATACATATTGATCTATCAATATTTTACAAAGAGACAGAGGGAGCGTGACAGATAGCGAGAAACCAAAATTTTGCAATGCCATGCTGCTCCAGTTCATGTAGCTGCATGTAGTTGATTCATACTATATACATTATGTGCTCATTGATGTGAGCAGACCTTGATAGCTTGATGTGTTCATTGATTGTTCATGCAATATGCGTCCACATAACGAAATGTCAATGTACAGCCTAGTATATAAATATACTTTGTATACAACACAATATATATATAGGTAGTGATATACGCAAAATGGGGAACCTTTGCTGGGTACCCTGGCCTGTCCAAACTTCTACTATGTATGTTTGCTTCCTGTTCGGTAAGCCCAAACGAAAACATAAAAAGAGGCTTATTTTGGTTGATCCTCTAGACTTGTGTAGGTTCAGAAGCCTGGACGGGTTCAGAACTTTTTTTGCCTTTTTTCCTACCATGGCACTATGGCAAACTCACATGACGACTGAATTGCCATATTTGCATGCGACCAGGATATCTGCTAGCTGTTTGGGCCAACCAAGCCCCTCTCTTGAAACAACAAGAGGTCACAACTCTGACCTCAAAACAAGACAAAACTAAATTGCAAATAAAAAAGTGATAGACGGGAAGAACACCAAAAACAGGGAGGAAAGAAGGATGCAACAAGGTGAGATGAGCTAAGTGGCAGAGAGAGTGCTGCTGAATGAAGACTGAAAGAAATACCACAAAAAATTGAGGCTGACTCGAAGGGAACCACTCCGTGTGGTGGATTGCCCCAGCAAACTCAAGCCGGGCTTGATCATACATTGTGGAGGAAAATTCAATATGTTGGCATTGAAGCATGTTACTTCTTCGTTTCAGACAAGTGTCTTTCAGAAACCAATAAAAAGCGGCGCAACCAAAGAAGACAAGGAAC